AAGAAATAATGTATGGAAACTTACCTAATCTGAGGAAAGAAGCCAACATCCATGTGAAGGAAAGGCGGAGGTTTCCAATCAGCTTCAACTTAGTGGGGAGTTCACCAAGACATACGATGGTCAAACTATCAAAAATCAAAGACAAAAAAATAAAATTCTAGGAGCAGCAAGAGATAAGATATACATCACATATAAAAGATTCCCAGCAGAATTTATCAATGGACTTTTCAGCAGAAACTCTGCAGGTCAGGAGAGAATGCGATAATATATTCAACTTGCTGATGAAAAAAAACCTTCCAGCCAAGAATTCTGTAACCAGAGAAGCTGTGTTTTAGAAATGAAGGTGAAATAAAAACTGTCCCATAAAAACAAAAGCTAAGGGAGGTCATCACCACTGTGCCTATCTTACACGTATTTTTGAAGGGAGTTCTTTAAACTGAAACAAAAAGCTGCTAACATAAAACTATTAAACTTTAAAGTTGCTTATTTGAAGAACAAAATTCAATATTATAAGAATATACAAAGCAATATTCAGAATACTCTAGGACTGTAATGGTGGTATGTAAAGTAATTTTAAACCTAGTATAATGGTTAAAGAACAAAATTTTTAATAAAATCTATAGCTAAAATAAATTGTCAGGAGATATATGTTGCAAAATGAAGTAAATTCAGACATCGAAAATATAAAATGTGGAAGGGTGAGTACATGTGTAGGATTGTTTTATGCAATGAAACTTAAGATGTTATCAGCTGGAAATAGACTGCTGTAAGTGGAAAATGTTCTATTTAAGCCTTGTGTTAAACAAAAACCAAAAATCAACAGAAGATGCACAGAACAAAAATAGAAAAGATTTGAAACATACCACTACAGACAACCACCCAACCACAACGGAAGACAGCAAGACAAGAAGATAAAAAGAATCCACAAAACAATAAGAAAACAAAAAATTGGCAGTAGGAAGTTCTTACCTATCAACAAGTACCTTGAAAATAATGGATTAGAATCTCCAATTAAAATACACAGAGATTTTCATATTTGTTGCCATACAGTTGTTTATATTAGTCTAATGATTCCTTGTATTTCTGTGGTATTGGTTGTAATGTCTCACTTCTGATTTCTGATATTTGTTATTGGGTCTTCTCTCTTTTTTTTAACCTAGCTAATGGTTTCTCTATTTTATCTCCTCTAAAAACCAACTTTTTGTTTTGTTGATCTTTTCTATTGTTTCTTGGGTCTCTATTTCATTTAGTTCTGCTCTGATTTTATTTGTTTATGCCTACTACCTTTAGGTTTGGATTTTGGTTGGTTTTCAAGTTCTTTGAGGTGTAGTGTTAGGTTGTTTATTTGAAGTCCTTCCATTCTTCTGATGTAAGCATTTATTGCAATAAATTTGCCTCTTAGTACTGCTTTTGTAGTATCCCACAGGTTTTGGTATGATGTACCTGTATTTTCATTAGTTTCTAGAAATTTTTTGATTTCCTGTTTAATTTCTTCTTGGACCCATAGGTCATTCAAGAGCATATTATATAGTTTCCATGTAGACAAAGGCAACAAAAATCTACAATGAAGGAAAGACTGCCTCTTCAATAAGTGGTACAGGGAAAACTAGATATCCACATGCAGAAGAATGAAACTAGATATGCATCGCTTACCAAACACTAAAATCATCTCGAAATGGATTAAAGACAAGTATAAGACCCGAAACTGTAAGATTACTAAGGGAAAATATAGGTGAAACAATTCAGCAACTAGGCCTGGGCACAGGCTTTGTGAACATGACCCTGAAAGCAAAGGCAGCAAAAGAAAATATAAACAGATGGGACTGTATCAAACTGAAAAGCTTCTGCACAGCAAAGGAAACAATAAACACAGTGAAATGACAACCTAAAGAGTGGGAAATAATTTTTGCTAACTATGCATCCAACAAGGGATTAATATCCAGAATATACATAGAACTCAAGAAATCATACAGTAATAAATAAATAAATAAATAATCCAGTTAAAAAATAGGCAAAGGAGCTGAATAGAAATTTTTTAAGGGAACACATACAAATGGCCATCAGGTACATAAAAAAATGCTCAACAACACTAGTCATTGGGGAAATGCAAATTAAAACTACATTGAAGTACTACCTCACCCCAGTTAGACTGGCTATAATCAAAAAGATGGTGAATAACAAATGCTGGTGAAGGTGTGGAGAGATGGGAGCACTTCTACAGTGTTGGTGTGATTGTAAGTTAGTACAACCACTATGGAAAAGAGTTTGGAGGTTTATCAAACTGCTACAGATAGATCTTCCACATGATCCAGCAATCCCACTACTGGGTATATACCCAGAAGAATGATAATCATCATGTCAAAATGATACCTGTGCTCCCATGTTCATCACAGCTCTGTTTACAAAAGCCAAGACATGGAACCAACCTAAATATCCATCCATGGATGATTGGATATGGAAACTGTGGTATATATACACCATTCAATACTACTCTGCTATAAAAAAGAATGCAATTCTCCCATTTGCAACAACATGGATGAACCTGGAGAAACTTATGTTGAGTGAAATAAGCAAAGCACAGAGGGATAAACACCTCGTGTTCTCATTCATATGTGGGAGATAAGAGGGAAAGAAGGAAGGAAAGAAAGACCATAGTAGTGCTTTGGTCTTGCAGAGGGAGAGAACATTCCTTAGGCTACAAAGTGGAGTGTGGGGGATGAGTGAAGGAGAGGAAGTTGGGGATAATTGGGTGGGGGTCATGGAGTACAAGAGCAATTTGTGGTAATGGGTATGCTGCCAGTATGAATCTGGCCCTCACATCATGCCATGAGGGGTGACAGTGAGCTTTGTATCTCATGTATATTCATTATAAAATAAATAAATAAATAAATAAATAAATAGACAGATAAATAAATAAGTAAATAAATAAAATTTAAAAAAATACATAGAGTAAAAGGATAAAAAAATATGACCCAACTATTTGCTGTCTATAAGACATTCACTTTACTTATAAAAACACATACAGACTGAAAGTGAAGAGATGAAAAAAAAAATCATGCAAATGGAAACCAAAAGAGAATAAGGGCAGCAATTCTTACATGAGACAGAATAGACTTTAAATCAAAAACTATGAAAAGAGACAAAGAGAGACATTATTAATGATAATTAGATCAATTCTTCAAAAGAATACAACAATTGTAAATATGTATGCACCGAACAGTGGAGCACCTAAATATATATCTTCTACAAACCTTGTCTTTCAGTTGAGTCATCAAAGTTGTGCCCTGCCCCGCCCTGCCCAGCAGGTGTCCAGTCTCTCCCACTGCCGGGAGTGAACTCCTCGGGGGAGGGTCCCTCAGCACACAGTTCCTCTTTGACTCCCCCCAGCACAGGTCGGCCCTCCGGGAGAGCTCTCCAGTAGCTTCAATGTAGCTCGAGAGCACTTTGGGCTCCCCTCTCCCCACCAGAAATTAGTTAGGGGTTCTTCCAAACTGAGGCCCTAGAGATGGAATCTGCCTCCCGGAAACAGGGAGATTACCTGGGGCCGATGCCCAGGGTGTGGTGGAGAGACGATCTGCGCGGGCTCCTCTTCCCTGCCCTCCCGACGCTGGCCGGGGGCTCCCCACGCTACCAGCCCCATCAGAGATCCGTGGGGGTAGTGGGATTGTAGGCCGGTCCACAGGCCCCGGGGTGCCCCGCGTTGAGGTAAGCAAATGGCACGTCTCAGTGAGGAGCCGCGCCAAGCCAATATGGCTGGCCTGCCTGCACTAAGCCAGCCGTCTCTGCCCCCACCCAAGAAAATGGAGGCAGCTCTGTTGTGGGCGCCGAGCCTGGGGGGGTGCGCGGGGGGCCCGGGGGCGGGGGGGAGGGGCGGG